GGTCAAGTGTGCAGACTCTAATCTGTAGTGGTCAAGTGTGCAGACTCTAATCTGGGAGAACCGGGTTTGATTCCCCACTCCTCCACTTGCACCTGCTGGATGACTTTGGGCAAGTCATAATTCTGCCAGAGCTGTCGTTGAAAGCGCAGTTCTGGAAAGAGCTCTCTCAGCCCCACCTACCTCACAGGGCGTCTGTTGTGGGGAGGGGAAGGGAAAGGAGTTTGTAAGCCGCTCTGAGACTCTGAGTGAAGGGCGCGGTATAAATTCAATCTCTTCTTTTTCTCCTTCCTAACCACCTTTCTCTGCTTCGTGTCCACCCAACAGCATACCTACCAACCTACCTTTTATCTGGATCCCATTTTCAGCTACATTTATCATTTCATTTGTGTCTTGTCTTTCTCCACAATGGGAACCCACAGCAGCTTGTATCATTCTCCTCTCCTCCATTTTATCCTCACAGCTACCTGTGAGATAAATTAGTCTGAGAATATGTTACTGGCCCAAGGTCACCTAGTGAGCTTCCACAGCAGAGTGGTAATTTAAACCTGAGTCTCCCAGATCCTAGTCTGAAACTTTAACCACAACACCACACTGTGCGGGATTTTTTTGGGGGGGGAGTGGGCTGGTGTTGACAGTAGCAAGCAGTGAGTCATACAAGTTGTGTGGTATTAAGTAGCCTGGTGGTTGCTGGTGGGCCTGGCCCTGATGTGTCCTCCCTCAAAAGTCAAAACAGCCCTGGAAAGGGCCATGCCCCCCTACCCCCTGCTTTTTACTGACTGTAATTAAGGCTGCCCATCAGTGGATTAAGTGGATGCCCATCAGTGGCCACTGAGGGCATCCACTACTGTCACTGCTTCTATTATTGGGGGGGGGGTTAATCCCCCCGATTATCTATATATCTAATTTCCAACAGAGTGCGCCGTGTGCGGATCCTTATTTCCACTAACAGGAAGCTCACTCTGCCCCAACAGCTTTTCCTACATAGTGAGTATACCTCCTGTGTCTGCAGAAAAATCCAAGAAGTAAAAAAATCCCTTCAGGGATGGCTGAATCCCCCCAAATACCTTTTGAAATGGCCTCTGCAGGGATCTAACTCCAGGCATCAACGGTGAGAGAGAGATTAGAACATTCGGGGAGGGAGGCTTCTAACTGGCTCTGTGAGTCAAAGGGTGGGGGAAGGGCCCTTTCTAGGCCTCTTTTGGCCTTTCAAGGAGGGAGGGAGGAAGGGAGCCTTGGGGCCAGGCCTCACAAGACTTGCCAGTGCCAGGCTGGGGGATTTCTTGAGATTTTGTGGAGGGCTGGGTTTGGGAAGGGAGAGGCCTCAGCTGGGTATAATGCCA